AAACGCCACCGGATAACTACTCGTGACTTAGAAGCCCCCACCAGAGACAGAAGTCCCCTGCGGACTTCGACGCGATCCCGGAAGCCCCGAGCCTCCGGTGGATCGCCTGGCCGGAAAAAAATGACTCAGCCACTTGCGGGGCATTGGCTCCCGCACCTGATAAAGGTACCCCTGCATTTGCGTGATCCTATAGAATGTTTTCACTTTCCCCATGGCTCTTACTCTAAAAGTTATTACTTTTAACGTTCAAGGTTTCCGAAATCCACAAAAACAGGCTGAGGTATTGGCTTTCGCACGTTCAGTGCATTGTGATTTGCTGTTTGTGCAAGAAACAAATTTTTTCAAGCTTTCTGATGTACTCGCTTTCAAGCGCGCGTTCAATATTGATTGTTTCTTTTCGTACGCCAGCACGCATTCGACTGGCGTCGGAGTCGTTATTTTTAACCGAGGTCTTTTACGTGACCATCATGTTTCCTTCGATGCCTTCGGACGCGTGCTGGCGTTCGACTGCACCTTTTTCTCGTTAAGAATAAGATTTGTTGCCGTGTATGCCCCAGCAACACGCGAGAACTCAAACGCGTTCTTCCAATCTCTTGATGCGTTTCTTTTAAATTCCCGACATGTGGTACTTTTAGGGGATTTCAATTGTGTCTTAGACTCACACGCAGACGTTCGAGGTCCGGGTCGCGGCCGGTCAAACTGGAACGCCCGAGAACTCGAACGTCTAGTGCAGCAATTGGCATTGAGTGACATTCATCAAAGTGTGCATGGCAATAATTATGCCTATACTTGGCGTCGAGCAGCGTCGAGCAGCCGAATCGATCGCGTGTATGCATCCCCCGGTCTCATTACCTACGTTCACGACACCGGGGTAATGTCATTTCCACCGACACCAGTATACATTAGCGACCATCGGCCGGTTATGTTCTCTCTCCGCCTGCCAGCGGGGACGCCCACGGTTCACAGACCATGGCGTCTCGATTGCCGCGTCCTCCAGGACTCTCAGGCTACGGAGAAATTATCCCGAGCGTTACGCGCATCGCTCATTGGGGCCGATGTAGCTGATTGGGATCGCCTCAAAGAACAGTGGCGGCATCATTGCAGTGCGTCGGGCAGAGGACTTTGCACCCGTATGTCGAAAGATGCGTCATTGTTAATCCAGAAGATACGCATTGCCAATCGAGATCCCAGTCCTTCCACTGTAATGCGGGCATGGCAAGAGGAGCTCGTTGAACGGTACCAGCGTATTATGCGCGCTTCTTCACTCTCGGCTGCAGCTTGGCGCTGTAGACGTGCACCCTGTGCGCACCCTGAGGTGCTAAGGTATGCACGCAGAGCTCTGCTTTGTCCACCAGGCTCGCCTGCCCACTCGCTGAACTCCATCACCCCAGCTGCTGCGGGTACGCGCGACTTTCAGGAATTCACTCAACACTTTGTGTCAATGGCTAAATCTGGTGCTAATGTCCGTTACCCAGGATCCATTTCTTCGCACCCTCTGCTAACAGATTTACCTCATGATTCCAACATGTCAAACGACATCCTGCTATCACCGCCATCCGATGACGAAATCAAAGGCGCATTAGACTCAATGAAAAAGGGATCGGCCCCAGGGCCTGACGGACTTCCTGCAGAGTTTTATGTACAGTTCTGGCCTATCATTGGTCCAAATATGTCACGCGTCATTCGCAGGTGTTTCCAAGATATTACACTTCCAACTTCTTTCCACAAAGGCCGTATAACACTAGTTCCCAAGAAAGACCCAATGTCCACGCGGCCAGAAGATTGGCGCCCTATTACCCTGCTCAATGTAGATTACAAGCTCTTGGCTAACATTTTGGTGCGCCGAATCAGTCCATTTCTTGCAACATTAATCGCTCCCCACCAGGTCTGTTCTGTTCCGGGCCGAGAAATACACACCCATACGTGGTTAACGCGGGACATCATTCAATACACTATTAGCCGATGTGCGCAAGGACTGTTGGTTTCATTAGATCAAGAGAAAGCTTTTGATTTCATAGAACATGGCTACATACTAAATGTTTTACATGCATACGGATTCCCGGATAAGTTCATTGACCTTATCAGCGCGATGTACACTAATTTAGAAAGTACCCTCTACTTAGATTCCCGTGAGAGTCACGCATTTAGAGTCACGCGTGGGGTCCGTCAAGGGTGTCCCCTCTCCCCAGTGTTATTTATCCTTGCATTAGAGCCCTTCTTAAGGGCCATTGAACATCACCCGCAGATTCGTGGCTTACCTCTACCCGGTAACACTCAAGTAAAGGTCGCTGCATATGCAGATGATATCACTCTATATGTACATAATGAACAGTCGCTGCAGCATGCTCTTGATACGTTTCATGATTTTGGTATTATCTCCGGTGCAAAGTTAAACTTTTCTAAAAGCCAGTATTTTTTCATTGGCAACCCCAGCGGTCGTATCAACATCACGTCGCCTTTACAGTGGTCTCCTGATATTTCAATACTCGGAGTTACTTTCACTGTATTTGGTATACAGGATAGCATCTGGTCATCCGTTGTACAAACTCTTCTAAATGATATCAAAGCAGCCAGGCACTTCGAATTCCCTCTCTTGGAACGCCGATACTTAACTCAAACGGTGTACCTAGGAAAATTTTGGTACCTTTGCCATTCTGTTAAACCACCGCTCCACGTCTGCAGGAAAGTGCAAAGCTGCATCAGTTCATTTTTTTGGTCTGGTGGCACAGAATTGTTATCGCGTCCAGCGTTAGCTCAGCCGCGAGATCAAGGCGGTTTTGCATTCCCTGACGTTTCCGTCGCGGCTTCTACATTGTGCCTCCGCACTCTATTGCGAATACTAAGCGATGATGACATGCCCGCTCAGGACACTGGCTCGCTACCATCTGGGGCCATCACTACGTGTCTTCTTGCCGGATAGCCAAATAAACAAAGGTCCCCAATCAACTGAATTACCATCTTTGTATCGAGCCCTTCTGACATTTCACCGACGTTTGGAAGCTACGTGCCCAGAGATAGAGGTGGCCGATTCTAAAGTGGTGGACACAATGGCCGCCCTTCTACGGCCCTTGGTGCCCCAGCATCGTCAATCTGTATTGAACCGCGCTTGGAAACCAATAACTGCCGCAGTGTTGCCAGGGCACCTCAGAGACTTTGTCTGGAGGTTGGGCTCGGGCTTGCTCCCCACGCGAGATCGGTTGCAGCGATGGCAGGTAGTTCGCACTTCCACTTGCCCCAACTGCGTCATGGTAGAGACCAATCGACATGCGACGTTTGAATGTGTGGTTTCCCGCCTTTTTTGGCGTGCGGTTAATACTGGTTTTCGGGGACAGGGTGTGCGAACTTTCGTGTCCAACGGCCGATTTCCGCGTAGCCGCTTCTCCGCTCTCTTAATAGTTGCGGGGCTGTTCAGCCTTTGGAGAAACCGATGTGAGGCCGTAGCTGCCAATTGCCGCCGGCGTGCCTTGTGGCCGATACTGGGGAGAATGAGACGAGAGATCCTCGCGTTCCTCTCCGAAGAGCTTTTCTTCCTCGGGGAGCAAGAGTTTCTGCGACATTGGTCGTGCCCTTTCGTGAAGGTGGAACACGAAAGGATACAACTCATTTTTCGACCGACTTGGTGCTAAGCAGCGCCCGTTGAGTTGTTATATATGATTTCATTTGTTACAAATTGTGTTTCATTTGGATCTATTGTATCGTTATACCCTTGTATCGTGATATCACATTGAATATTTGTGTACATGTATGCCAACATAATCATGTATATTAGAGCAAATGTCTTCACTGTAACGTAGTGATGTTAGTCGTGAAATATAGATGTGCTGATGTATATGTGCCCTGTTACTGGAATGGTATGAAGCCTTTGTGTTCTGTACATGCTGTAAATAAACTTTTTCTAAACAAGGAGCTTCGCTCCTAAAACTCGCGTGGACTTGCGGTTGGTCTGTAGACGGCTGAAATGAGATGCGTATAATAAGCGTATTCATCTTGCACCACACTGTTTTTGGTAAATGGCAATGTACTGTTGTTGCCGCTACGTTGCTTTTAATTATCACTACCACACCACCACCTCGGGTGTCCCTGTCCCACCGCAAAATCTTGTATCCTGGCGGTAGGACGCAGTTATCTGTTATAGCACACGTGTAGACGGCCTCATGCAAGCAATGGTTGAGCTCACTCGCCGAAGCCATCGTGACAATCAGGTTTGCCTGCGCAAGTGACTGTTCGCAAAAGGGTAATCTATACGTCACGTCACTCGTCAGATTCGCGTGCATTTTCGCGGTTATTGGGGTTTGGCCTTTAGTAACTAACTTAGTTTGCTACACAAACTTGCAATGTCAAAGCCCGATCATTCTAAGTGAGGCAACGTCTGAATGGTTTTTCCTGTGCTGTAGACTGAAAATCCACTATAAATGAAAAAAAAAAGCCGATAAAAACATTCGTTAAAGAAAAAGCCACAATATTATTCATGAGATGAGTGCGCGCCGAACCAAACGGAGAAACGGGTCGTTCCTCCTTAAACATACCGTGCACGTGATTTAGCAAAAGCTGAAGACGTATAGTTCGAAAGGCGCAAGTTTTCTTCTGCGAACTCCTCCGTAGAAGATGTATAACAGCTTTAAAAACATCAACTACACTACATTTCACTGATACAGTGATGTCAGAGTTATTAATTGGGTCATCAGTAACTACTAAGCAGTCGGCCAATATTTGATATTCGGACAATGTTGGGCCCATACGAGCTGCTCATAAGATCCCTATCCCATTTGCGTCAAAGTATCGGAATGTTTAGGTATGTTCACTGGTACGTTAGGGGGTCGACAACGGATGTGTCCAAGTATTGAAGTAGACCACAGTCAGGAAGAGCAATAACATTCATCAGATGTTAATAGAATGGCTAGCTGGTGTTGAAACGCAAATGTCATGTTCTAGGTATTGCTGATGAGATATCTGTGTGTGATTGTTTTGAATAAACGACACATGGAGTTCCGCGACTCACGTGAGTATCGGAGCATAGAAGTGTCCTATACCTAAGACATATATGCTGCCATACGCTGCAGTTCCCAAATTAGAGGCGTCGTAAGCGCGGCTTGTTCTGCTGCAGTTGGCGGTAGAGCGGCTTTGCGAGGGCCACGAAGGTCTGTGTAGAGCACATGATGCAGGGCTTCCCTGGCATCGCACTTGCTCGACTTGGTCGTGCCACCACTTCACCTTCGTGTCGGCGAATCCAGGTCATGCTGTTCTCCGAGCCCGTCTCAACATCCACGTAATGAATGTGGATGTAGAATATGGATGGCGGCCGGCTGGCCATGTCTTCGACGACCGTCTGCGCCTTTGATGATTGCAGTTTAGTCTTGGTGATCAGGCAAAGGCGTTCTAAAGCAGTGCCAGGGTACAGGGAGTTCTGAAAAAAAAATATTATAAAGAAAGCTGTTGTGCCTCTGGTGCTCATGTGTCTAGAATGTTTCATTATTTCACACGTTTTTTTATTTCTCACTTAACAGTTACCCTTAAGTTATGCCGGGAGCTCGCATACCTCGCCGCATCATACCTTTCAAGATTTGTCGAGTACTTGCCCATGCTAAAACATTTTCTGCCTCTTCTTTTCCCAGACGAATCAAAAAAAGAAGAAACAACATTTTCAAGGAATATGTCGCCATAATCACCTAGCATGAAAAACAAGTATCCGGGGCTCCAGGTAGAAGAACCTTGATATGATCAACCCGTCACGACGGATCATCACGCAAAGCATATCAAGTGAAACTAGATGCTGATCATTGTGCACCCTTATTGATTTTAAAGCGACCCACCTGTTATGTAATACCCACTCTGGGGTGTTTGAGGGCCTAACGATGAAACGAATATTTACATAAAAAATGAAGAACACAATGATAACGCCGAATTATACACCATATTTTTTTCGGAGGGGGCGATACCATCTAGTGTACGCTAAAAGACTATTTGTTAAGAAGGACGCGTGCATGCTGCATAATTTACTGGTAGTGAAGACGCCCGCTTGAAAGGCACGGGTAAATTATACTGAGAAAACTCTAGCCTCGTTTATGTCACCACCACGGGTAAAAAAACGGGTGATAACGTTACTTAAAGTTTAGCTACCCACCGTAAAATCTAATGGTGACGTCACGGATTTCACTGTGTTTTGTAGCACGGCCCATTGGCTCAATGAAGTTTTCATTCTATTGTGTTAAGAATTTGAATTTCTCTGAAGCCAATGTACTTTTTTTTTGCTTATCAGGAACGACGTCGGCCCGCTTTACAAGCTGGTAAAATCTTTCACTGACGTGCGAATTCCAGGCGGCGAGGCCTCCCATATTTTCTTCGCGCCCGTTTTCTAGCTCAATAGTTTTCTCAAAGTGAGCCTGGTTTTTTCGGTAGCGTTAAAGCAGAGTAATTTGGCTATACGAAAAAAAAATCGCTTTTTCCTGTCCCTTCAAGCGAAATACCGCTGGGAGAGAGACAGTTATAGCACTCGAGGTACCTACCTCGAAGGACTGCTCGCAGAAGTTGATGAAGGCCAGCTTCACGACGAGGGAGCGGAGGGTTGCGCTGTAGCGTAGAATTCTGGAGAGAGCGCTGAAGTCGAAACGCGGTTCGTCAGAGTCATCGATGAAGCGCACATGGGCCACCCAGACGCACCGAAGGAAGTCTAAAGAAACCAAGTTCGGAACGTTGCTCAACGTAAGACGACCCGAATCGATTTCAAACACACTCGCTTCAGCACGTTCAATAGTCAGATCGTTGTCGCACGAAGCGCAAGCTCTTGTGGCGGCCGTCCAGGTTGAGTCGGACATCCAGGTCTTCGACGTCGCCGAGCCGGAAAGCAAGCCGGCGCACTGCCCCTGTCGGGCGCAGGCCACATGGTGGTAGGGACAGCGCTCGGAGGCGCCGCAGAGCGGGCGCGTCCAGCACCTGTGTGAAGTTGAAGCCGTCACCAAAGTGAAAGGAGCTGACGTTGAGCTCGACGAGGTGGGACAAGCTTAGCGAAAAAGTCGCGCAAGGTCGGGATGTGCATAGCGCTCGATGGTCGGGTACTCGGTACTCTCAAGATTTTGGCCGTACAGCAGGATGCACAGGCTCTGCGTCGCTCTCCAGTTGTACCGAGAACCGGCAATGAGGAACTGGCTACCGAGATCAGGTGTATCGACGGCCGCAACGATGACCGGCTCAACTGGGAACACTGCATTGTGCGACTGGGCCAGGTCTCGCAGCTGGGCGCAGTTCAATGATAGCGGTGTCTTCCTGAACACCACATTTCCGTGAAGGTTAATGCAGTAACGCAAGTCTACCGCCTCCTCGTGGGCTGATTGCGCCGTGAAGGGCGCCTCGCTGGTACACTTAAACGTCTCAAGGTTCTGCAAGTTTTCGGTTGTCGTTCTACACGTCATCGCGCAGAGGTCTGCACTAACTTCATGCAGGAAGTGAATGTGCAAGTCCTTCAGGAGCGGACAGTAATCCAGGAACTGCAGCAGAACCATCACGTTGTGTTCGCCCGCGACTTCGACGTACATTTTGCTGATCTTGGTTTCCTTACTGACTTGCATGTCTTTCAAGCGGCTGATTTTCAAAAGTTCTTCGTTGGCGTCGTCCATGGCATCGACGAGCGAGAAATGCAGCTGCGTGACGGTTTGCAAGGAGGTCAGTAGTCGCTCCAGGAGAAGGCTTGCCTTCACCGGGCATGCAATGCACGAGAGAGTTTCGAGGCTTTTGACATCAGACGTGAGCCGAAAGCAGGGACGCCGGATCCGCTACAATGCAGTTGGATATGTTAAGCGAAGTCAGGTTGCCTCGCACTGCGGCTATCTTGCGTTGGAGCACGTCTTCCCTGGCGTTAGCGGGCAGCTCGTACGACGACATTGCGTGTGTGTCTGAAGTAGTGCGCCAAGCTCGATCGAATGGGAAACTGATTTCTGAGAGGCCCGCGCAGTTCTCAGATCGCTGCGCATGTATCATATGACGGGGTGTGGTATCTCACGCCGACCCTGCGAGAGCCGTCATTTCATGTCGCCGCCGAAGAAGTTATCACATGGGCGTTCAAGTACCTTTGAGAATGATTGTTAGCTTTTGGTAACGTTGATTGCTAACTTTAGAATGATATGATGTACCACGGGTGTCTCTGTGCAAATAGTGGCGCTACTTGATAGCCGTGATTTCATGGTATGTGCCTAAATCTTGCATTTAGGTTTTTATAATTTTTTTCTCTGGGTACACTAATTAGCATTCAGCTAACTTGCTCATCATGTTTGTTGATATTGAACAAGAAATGAATCATCTATTAGTTATTTGTACTTATTCACGGGTACAGTATCGGCGTGTCGTAGCAGTTATGTTATACTAGATGACGAAGCACTCCTTATTTCTTGTATCTCATGGTGTTCACTTTTTTTTATTGCGATAGCAAATATATGGACACTCTCGGCTGGATTTTGCCGCCGGCGTCGGCGTGGACGTCGGCGTCGATGTCATGCACCGTTTATGTGTACGTTTCGATATATATGAAAACGCAAAAAAAAAGAAAAAAAATACAGAAAAAAGACTCCACGTTGCAGAAAAAAGACCTCCGCGTCGTGAATGCGAGGCGTTAACCACTGAGACACCGAGAGGTACCTCCTTCAACGTTCAAACGGCAAGCTATTCAAATATACGACTTACCGCTGTTGGTGGGCATATAGGGGGGGGGGGGGGACTATCGTGTTTTCAGCATTATCAGCAAGATTGCGCAGTGAGCCCGCGGCGGCTCGCATCTGTCACGCGTACTTTGGCCTGCGTAGAGAATAAGGGGGTGTACGCTCGATCGCGCACCCTTATCTTGCAGTGGGGAGAATCGTACGTCTTGGATAGCCTTTGGGTTTCGTAGGAACGATTCTGTTGTGGCTACCTGGCGCACAAAGGTCACTGCAATTGTTGCACAGCCTCCGTTTGCGAAAAGGACGCGCTTTTCAGACATAGTGAAGTGACAACTAATCCGCTTATTAGTGGTAATTCGTGCCTGTGAGTACGTTTCGTGCGTCCTTTGTGCGTGAGAAACGCGGGGGACGTTTCAATCTGCTTGCCATTCTGCGCGTGACCTTCCAATTTGTTGCTATCGTGTTTATTGCTTCGCATTTGCGGCAAAACTGTGACTTTTTGTAATAGTTTTTCAGAAGTAGATGTAGTGATAAGCCGTCGCTATTCTTGTAATTTAGCTTGGCGTCGGTTATATTGCTTTTATGTTTAATAATTCGCCAAACTACCCCAAGGATGCGCTACAGAGAGTTTCTTTGCTAAAAAATCTATATGAACGGTTTGGTTTTCTATTTTGCTAGGAAGCAGAATAAATCAGTGTTGCTTTGTGCCAATGTACTTTGTAAATCTTGAAGAGACACTGAAATGGTTTGGGATTGTCGAAATTATCAGTATTTGAGCATCCTTACCTCTTATAACGTACGTGCGCAGACATTTACCGCGATATATAATAGTAAACGACGTAGCTACAGACCAGAACATGTCTATCTTGCGTAAATATAGCCTCCCAGCGGCATACTCTGGTGCCCAGACTCCATTTTGTTCTGCACTGTCAAGGCGTGTATTTCTTGAGCCGAGTCAACATGGCAAGCGGCAGCTCTGCGTCTTCAGAGTTCGTGAAAGCGCTTGTTGACGCTGCTTCCGGTTACAAGAAGTCGTCTAGGCACCGCGACTTCGTCCTTGGATGGGAAAACTGTCAGCGCAAGAAGGTTTTACTGAGAATTGTCCGTGAAAATCGCAGCACGACGTTGAAATCGTGCCGGTGCGGTGTTTTCAGATTGCACAGATTTCCATCCACAACAACAAAAACAACAAAAATCACAGCATATCCATGGACTGAATGATCATGAGTGCCGCGGAATCACCCTACAAGGTGCGTAAAACGATGTAATAGACTTGAACAAAATACGAAACCTAAATGCCTATAGCGTGACCATATGGCAACACGAAAAATAACACACTTGTTCGCAAGTAACATATTGCTTAATCTGTTTCGAATTTTCATCAATTGATTTGTAGGGTTTAACGTCCCAAAACTGTCATATGATTATGAGAGACGCTGTAGTGGAGTGCTCCGGGAATTTCGACCACCTGGGGTTCTTTAACGTGCGCCCAAATCTGTGCACACGGGCCTACGACATTTCCGCCTTCATCGGAAATGCAGCCGCCGCATGGATGGATGTTTGGACGACGCATGGATGTTTTTGCGCTGAGAAGTTTAATAATGGATTACGAACTAGCCCAATTCCAAAATTTATTTCGCTTAGGATCCTCCGCGGCCTCTGGCAGTTTAGCGTACATCCCAAGAGCACCCGTGGGATGCTGTTTTCCCTTCGCAGAAGGCTGGAACCAATCCATTGATGAATAATTTTCTCGCGTTCCACGTTTCGGTAAAGCACACGACGACCGAATTCGTCAGTATAGGACCTCCCTCGATGTAGTCTGCATAGGCATTAATAGAGCGAGCATTGAGCAAGACCAGTGTAAGCTATGTTGCGGGGTCGACGTCTTCTCGAAAGGCTAGAAGGTACCTCTGCATCTGGGTTGGCAGTATGTGCTGCTCGAGACGTTCAAACTCGTCCATCATACTCCTGCCCACGTTACTGCCTTTCTAGTGAAAGTGGAAATATCCCGTTCGTTTTCATCCACAGCGGATAGGTTGGTGTGTTGATTCTTCTTAAACAACTTGGCGCAACCCATTTCGGGGGATAGGCCATAAATCGAACGATGCCTGGCTTATTGAACTGATTAACTTCCTATGAGAAAGGGTTGCATTCATTAGGCATCGCAGGTAATCATTTAACCTTGTAGGATTTAAGAAAGACATTTACAAAATAACATAAAGACACAGAAAAAAGAAAACCGTCTGTACCTAAAGCAACTGAATCCAACAACATTTAACATTCCGTTTTTTCAGACTCTCGTTAGAAAATTGTAACGGCGTTCAAAACGCTCACGTGGCTAAAACCAAATGTGATTGCGCCAAATGAAAAAATCAGCGCAAGTGATAAGTTTAAGCCGAACTTCTGTAGGGGTTCTTCTAGTAGTCTTTTCCTTTGAATTTTAGATCTTCGGCATGTCAAAAAGAAGTGCTCTAGAGAACGGGAATGTGTTCTCGGGAAAGCGCTCATTATTTGTCGTCATCTGCCACAGTACAAAGTACACGTAATGCCTCACAGATGTGTAGTGGGCACCTCGCTTATCTGCAGAATGATGAATGAGATCATGGTGAAAAAAAAAAAAAGGAGAGAGCATGACGTCATGCCACCAGCCTTCGCTAGCCAACCCGTTTTGGAGCTAGTGGTGTTGCCTCAACACGCGACTTTTTCAGGGAACATCACACTAGCAACGATACTTGTCGAAACTTCGGGGTACGGCGCCCGGTAGCTTTTGATCGAAGAGTGCTGGTTGGGCGCAGAACGGCCGGCTCACGCAGGTGGTTCAAAAATGGAGCACCACCCAGACTACTAAAATCTACCTCACGCTCTGAGGTTTTGGCCACGTGTTGGACCGACAAAGTGGGCTTAGCCTCGTGTGACGTCATTCTCCCTCCTTTACTTTTCTTCTTCCATCAATGGCATAGTGCTATAGTGCGTGCATCACCATCAACGTCATGATGTATTTTTGGATAGTTTGATTAAGTTGTGCTGTGATGGCAGAAAGAGAATGTGTGGTTTGCAACGCACTCCTACAGCAGGTTTGAGTTTAAATACAGATAATGTTCTCAGTTGGGGCGCCTCTGGCTTGGGATATTGCCACAGAAACATATTTTATGCAGTCTGTAATTTTATTCAAGAATCTAAACGCATGCCAACATAACGTCTGCTGCAATAATGTTTGACTAATACAAATGACATAATTGATAGCTTGAATAAATGTAGGACATACATTCGATATTGATTGGGTGAGGTAAGCATAGTGGTCTGGTCAGCTCGAAATTTCACTTTTTCGATATGGTATTAGATGTTATTTTCTTTTACTGATTAACATTTATTTTAATGTATATTTTTTTCTCAAACAGTAATCAGCGATTTTCTTTTCTTTGCACAATTTTCTAATATCTTGACAATTATTGTATAGCATTCACATATAGGCTACTATAGATGTTTTTCGGCCTACACCCCGGAAATGCATTGAAGAAGAATGGCGATTTGGGCTAGTTGGTTTGGAATGTGCTGCAGCGCGAGCACATTCGTGCTCGCGCTGCAGCCCTTATTACTACACCCCGGAGTGGGCATGCGCCAGTATTCACAGGCACAAACAAACAAACAAACAAACAAACAAACAAACAA